TTCTTTGTTTCTGTTTGTTTTTCGCTTGTCCGTCGGCTGCACTGGTCGCCCCGGGCCCGCCCGCCGCCCCGCGGTCGCTCGGCCCCTCGGCTGGCCAAATGCATTGGTTTTGTTTGTTTTTGTTTGTTTTCGCTTGTCCGTCGGCTGCCCTGGTCGCCCCGGGCCCGCCCGCCGCCGGTCGGTCGCTCGGCCCCTCGGCTGGCCCAATTCATTGGTTTCGTTTGTTTTTGTTTGATTCCGCCTGTCCGTCGGCTGCACTGGTCGCCCTGCGCGCGCCCGCTGCCATTCGGTCGCTCGGCCCCTCGGCTGGCCCCACTCCCTGGCTTTCTTTGTTTCTGTTCGTTTTCGCTTATCCGTCGGCTGCACTGGTCGCCCCAGGCTCGCCCGCCGCCCCGCGGCAGCTCGGCCCTTCGGCGGGCCCCATCCATGGTTTTGTTTCTTTTTGTTTGTTTTTGCTTGTCCGTCGGCTGCGCTGGTCGCCCCAGGCTCGCCCGCCGCCCCGCGGTCGCTCGGCCCCTCGGCTGGCCCAATTCACTGGTTTTGCTTGTTTTTGTTTGATTTCGCTTGTCCGTCGGCTGCACTGGTCGCCCAGCGCACGCCCGCCGCCTTTCGGTCGCTCGGCCCCTCGGCTGGCCCCATTCCCTGGCTTTCTTTGTTTCTGTTTGTTTGCGCCTGTCCGTCGGCTGCAGCGGTCGCCTCAAGCTCGCCCGCCGCCCCGCGGTCGCTCGACCCCTCGGCCGGCCAAATGCATTGGTTTTGTTGGTTGTTGCTTGTTTTCGCTTGTCCGTCGGCTGCGCTGGTCGCCCCAGGCCCTACCGCCGCCGTTCGGTCGCTCGGCCCCTCGGCTGGCCCAATTCACTGGCTTTGTTTGTTTTTGTTTGTGTTCGCTTGTCTGTCGGCTGCGCTGGTCGCCCAGCGCGCGCCCGCCGCCGTTCGGTCGCTCGGCCCCTCGGCTGGCCCAATTCACTGGCTTTGTTTGTTTTTGTTTGTGTTCGCTTGTCCGTCGGCTGCTCTGGTCTGCCTCATAAGCCGCCCCGCCGCCCCCGCGGTCGCTCGCACGCCCTCGGCTGCCAAAGCAGGGGTTTTTGTTTTGTAGTTTTGTTTGTTGTCTTTTCGCTGTCCGTCGGCTGCGCTGGTGTCGCCCCAGACCCGCCCGCCGCCGCTCGGTCGCTCGGCCCCTCGGCTGGCCCACTTCACTGGTTTTGTTTGTTGTTGTTTGTTTGTTTTCGCTTGTCCGTCGGCTGCGCTGGTCGCCCTGCGCGCGCCCGCCGCCTTTCGGTCGCTCGGCCCCTCGGCTGGCCCCTTTCCTTGGCTTTCTTCGTTTCTGTTTGTTTTCGCTTGTCCGTCGGCTGCGCTGGTCGCCCCTGGCTCGCCCGCCGCCCCGCGGTCGCTCGGCCCCTCGGCTGGCCAAATGCATTGGTTGTGTTTGTTTTTGTTTGTTTTCGCTTGTCCGTCGGCTGCACTGGTCGCCCCGAGCCCGCCCGCCGCCGTTCGGTCGCTCGGCCCCTCGGCTGGCCCAAATCACTGGTTTTGTTTGTGCTTTGTTTGTTTTCGCTTGTCTGTCGGCTGCACTGGTCGCCCTGCGCGCGCCCGCCGCCTTTCGGTCGCTCGGCCCTTCGGCTGGCCCCATTCCTTGGCTTTCTTTGTTTCTGTTTGTTTTCGCTTGTCCGTCGGCTGCACTGGTCGCCTCGGGCTCGCCCGCCGCCCCGCGGTCGCTCGCCCCCTCGGCTGGCCAAATGCATTGGTTTTGTTTGTTTTTGTTTGTTTTCGCTTGTCCGTCGGCTGCACTGGTCGCCCCCGGCCCGCCCGCCGCCGTTCGGTCGCTCGGCCCCTCGGCTGGCCCCACTCCCTGGCATGATTTGTTTCTGTTTGTTTTCGCTTGTCCGTCGGCTGCACTGGTCGCCTCAGGCTCGCCCGCCGCACCGCGGTCGCTCGGCCCCTCGGCTGGCCAAATGCACTGGTTTTGTTTGCTTTTGTTTGTTTTCGCTTGTCCGTCGGCTGCACTGGTCGCCCAGGCGCGCCCGCCGCCGTTCGGTCGCTCGGCCCTTCGGCTGGCCCAATTCACTGGTTTTGTTTGTTTTTGTTTGTTTTCGCTTGTCCGTCGGCTGCGCTGGCCGCCCTGCGCGCGCCCGCCGCCTTTCGGTCGCTCGGCCCCTCGGCCGGCACCATTCCCTGGCTTTCTTTGGTTCTCTTTGTTTTCGGTTGTCCGTCGGCTGCGCTGGTCGCCTTAGGCTCGCCCGCAGCCCCGCGGTCGCTCGCGGGCCTCTCCCCGGGGGGGGCCCCTGGCCAAATGCTTGGTTTTTTGTTTGTTTTTTGTTTTCTGTTTTCGCTTGTCCGTTCGCTGCGCTGGTCGCCCCGAGCCCCACGGTCCAGCCGCGCCGCTGGATCGCCGGTCGGGGCGCCCCTCGGCCGGCCCAATTCACTGGTTTCGTTTGTGTTTGTTTGTTTTTCGCTTGTCCGTCGGCTGCACTGGTCGCCCTGCGCGCGCCCGCCGCCTTTCGGTCGCTCGGCCCCACGGCTGGCCCCATTCCCTGGCTTTCTTTGTTCCTGTTTGTTTTCGCTTGTCCGTCGGCTGCACTGGTCGCCTCAGGCTCGCCCGCCGCCCCGCGGTCGCTCGGCCCCGGTTTTGCTTGTTTTTTGTATGTTTTCGCTTGTCCGTCGGCTGCGCCGGTCGCCCCAGGCCCGCCCGCCGCCGCTCGGTCGCTCGGCTGGCCCAATTCACTGGGTTTGTTTGTTTTTGATTGTTTTCGCTTGTCCGTCGGCTGAACTGGTCGCCCTGCGCGCGCCCGCCGCCTTTCGGTCGCTCGGCCCCTCGGCTGGCCCCAGTCCCTGGCTCTCTTTGTTTCTGTTTGCTTTCGCTTGTCCGTCGGCTGCGCCGGTCGCCTCAGGCTCGCCCGCCGCCCCGCGGTCGCTCGGCCCCTCGGCTGGCCAAATGCATTGGATTTGTTTGCTTTGGTATGTTTTCGCTTGTCCGTCGGCTGCACTGGTCTGGTCGCCTCAGGCCCGCCCGCCGCCGTTCGGTCGCTCGGCCCCGTCGGCTGGCCCAATTCACTGGTTTTGTTGTTGTTTTGTTTGTTTTCGCCTGTCCGTCGGCTGCACCGGTCGCCCTGCGCACGCCCGCCGCCTTTCGGTCGCTCGGCCCCTCGGATGGCCCCATTCCCTGGTTTTCTTTGTTTCTGGTTGTTTTCGCTTGTCCGTCGGCTGCTCTGGTCGCCTCAGGCTCGCCCGCCGCCCCGCGGTCGCTCGGCCCCTCGGCTGGCCAAAAGCATCGGTTGTGTTTGTTTTTGTTTGTTTTCGCTTGTCCGTCGGCTGCACTGGTCGCCCCGGGCCCGCCCGCCGCCGTTCGGTCGCACGGCCCCATCGGCCGGCCCAACTCACTGGTTTTGTTTGTTTTTGTTTGTTTTCGCTTGTCCGTCGGCAGCACTGGTCGCCCTGCGCACGCCCGCCGCATTTCGGTCGCTCTGCCCCTCGGCTGGCACCATTCCCTGGCTTTCTTTGTTTCTGTTTGTTTTCGCTTGTCCGTCGGCTGCACTGGCCGCCTCAGGCTCGCCCGCCGCTCCGCGGTCGCTCGGCCCCTCGGCTGGCCAAATGCATCGGTTTTGTTTGTTTTTGTTTGTTTTCGCTTGTCCGTCGGCTGCGCTGGCCGCCCCAGGCCCGCCCGCAGCCGTTCGGTCGCTCGGCCCCTCGGCTGGCCAAATGCACTGGTTTTGTTTGATTTTGTTTGTTTTCGCTTGTCCGTCGGCTACACTGGTCGCCCTGCGCACGCCCGCCGCCTTTCGGTCTCTCGGCCCCTCGGCTGGCCCCATTCCCTGGCTTTCTTTGTTTCTGTTTGTTTTCGCTTGTCCGTCGGCTGCGCTGGCCACCTCAAGCTCGCCCGCCGCCCCGCGGTCGCTCGGCCCCTCGGCTGGCCAAATGCATTGGTTTTGTTTGTTTTTGTTTGTTTTCGCTTGTCCGTCGGCTGCACTGGTCGCCTCAGGCCCGCCCGCCGCCGTTCGGTCGCTCGGCCCCACGGCTGGCCCAATGCATTGGTTTTGTTTGCTTTTGTTTGTTTTCGCTTG